TTATTTATCACATTTAGTCTTGTATCATGAACTTGCTCTCTTTGATAACAATATCCCTGTGTTACGGTTCATTTGCTTCAAGCAGTAGCTTGTAAATGTATTTAAACACCTGATTTCTTCCTCAATTTGTGTTTGAGGTGCATGCAAAAAATCCTGATTCAACTTAAATCAATGAAATAATTGAAAACAGGGATCCCCTGTCACCCAGGTAATTAATATTAAGTTAAATAGAAAATAGGCATGTACGGTAGCTACTGTAGGTATTGCATATTGAAATGTGTACAAAATGACCACATTTTAGTGTAAAACTAAAAAGTGACACTTTTTAATGTTTTAGTATACATGTATGCCACCTGTATGCAGGTTATACTTTTGCCAACCCAAAATGAAAATTTCACGTAGCACATCAAGGAGTTTTGCACGTTTCCTTCGTTTTAGCTTCACCGGGCCTGAGTGTCTCAACCTGACCTGCATACAGATTGAGTTCTGTGATCGTGGGCTCGAACCTGGGTCATGTCTGTAGTTAACCATGACCAGAAGCCCTCCAGTGGAGGCTCACTGATCTTATCATAGATGTGAACTGTGTGTAAAGAGTGGTTGTAACAGAATATGAAAAAAAAACTATCCTAAATTTAAAAATATGTATTATTTCACAACACAACAAATGGCATCCCTGACACTCTAAGCTGTACCTTTATCTCCCAAGGTAATGAACCAAAACTATCAAGCTATATGTTTGTGTGTGAGAACTTACTGGTATTAAATCTAAAATCGTGCCCCTAAAGAGAATTCTAACATGTCAAGTAAAGGTGTTCTGGAGTTTCATGTCATGAAAGGGCTTCATCTGTAAAATGTCAATGACTAATTCATAAAATTACTTTAAGATTCATTTATCTTAGTAAAACAAAAAAAATATATATTTGAAAGTTATAGTTTGAAATACTATAAATAATGCCTTTTAGAACCAAAAGGTTTTAGGTATTTGTTTCTGTAAATAACATCTTGTTAGCTGTTGGCCTGCCATTTATCAATGCCTCATACATTCCCTATGAATGCAAGCCACATGAGTTATTTATTACTACCAAAAAACATATTAAGCAAACATCAATACAGGGCTTTTAAGTGATAACTACAATGTGGAAGTGAATTTCAGTGATGGTTAGTGACAACTGTAAAGCAGTTTAATTGTGAATTACTTGGATAGATGATACACTGTACTAGCAAGTAAATGTGAATAGATACATTTTTCTTTTCTGACAATACATCTTTTGGAAATCTGGCCACATCTGACTTGAAGGGCAAATATCGTGTTATTCTGAAAGACCAGATTCTGAAAAGAGGAGGATGTTTTAATATCAAAAGATTCTATAATAGAACATCCATTTGGATGAATATGATCCTGCACAGGGACGTGGTCATTTTGACCTCTGCATATCAGCATGTCAGGAAGAAAAGCTTCCTGCGTCGATTTGAGTGGCCACACTTTGAAAGCAATAGACAGCTAGTGACCCAAAAAAACAAACTGCCTAAGCTGATCTTTACTCTCGGAAGCTCAATACCTCAAATGCAACCTTTAAGTTTAACTGCAAGCAAGGAGAAGTCCTCTGGGCTGATAAAGCTGGAGAGCAGTCACCAATAGTTCAGTAGTTCTGTCTGAAATCACTTTCATGTGAGCTTTAAATTGTAAGATGTTATTTGACAATCCAAAAATGGGGAGATATACACTAGGAGAAGAGAGATGGTGTGTCAGAGTAGACTTCCGCTGTCACTGGAGCTGGTACAGGCTCCCACGAAGCATAGTTCAGGACCCTACGCAGACGGTATAATCCGGAAGTGACCGGAAAAAGACTTCAAGGGAAACACAGCAAGAGCAGGACGGGATGACAGACAGGGGGGTGTGATGGCTGTGATCTGGTGCTTAGGGGGCGTGGCACAGGCGAACAACTCCTGAGGTAGTCCAAAGGGGAAACTAGGGCGCAGTCCAGGGTAGAGGAGCCGGGAGAGCCAATCCGAGACAGACAAGATTAAAACCGGAATGGGATCCGGAACAGGAACAGGGACAGGGAACCAGGAGGATAAAAACAGTAACATGGCCAGATGCTCTGAGCCCTGGACTCAGCTGGTCATGATGCCGTGATGAAGCCTATGCCATTGGGTCTCTCCAGGACCCGCTGGTAGGCGGGCTTCAGGGCATCCGTCTTCCAATGCAGAGCGGGGGATAATGGGAGTGCCAGGCTTAAATAAGGAGACGAAACAAGGGGCAGGTACATGTACTCAACTTAAATATGAAAGGGCAGGAGCTCCCCTAAAATTAAGGATTACGATCATGACAGCTACCTCATATCTTCTGGATTCAAGTCTGGCCTGGGGCGTTATCTTTCAGGAGTTTGCATGTTCTCCTCTTATCTGCGTGGAGTTCCTCCCACTATCATGGGTTGAATACAGTACGTGTCTCTAAATTGCCTGCTACAGTACTGTACATGTGTGTCCTACCATCGACTGGCATGCCATCCTGGCTGTAGTTCCACATTATTCCCTTTGCTGGCTAATTTAGGCTTCAGCTCACCATGACAGTCTAGAGATATATGAGTTACTGATGATGGAGGGATGGTGGATGGATAGATGGTTGGGTATCATATTTATACACAGCGATTATAAAGCTAGTTGGCCGATTCAAACAGCTGCACACAGAGAACTGGGTTGTGGAGCAATTCAATTTGGCATACAACACAGTTGTGTACCAAAAGTGAGATCATGGAGTATATGGTCACATGGAAAATGTGTCGTACACACAGTACTAAATAGTTCTAAATTGCTGGTATCCACCAGAAACACCTCCAAGCCAGCATGGACACAAATGGTTGTCATATTGAGGAGAAAACATATTCTCTGAATGGGATAATTCACCCCTGATTCCTTCTGTATATGAGATGAATGTTTTTGTTCAGTGGTGCAGAGGTCTCTTGTTGTTTGATCTTATACATGAAACTAAATGACAGGTCTGTGGCTGTCAATGAATTGCAGTGCTGTTTATGGAATCAGTGACTTCACATGTACCTGCCTTCTTGTCTATTGAGAAAATTAGCCCTGCAATGATTTAAAGGCACAAGATTTCAAACTACCAAATAAAACTGGTATACAGTATCCACAGTACAGGACATTTTTCTTCTACGGGGACAATAAGACCTTTAGAAAATATTTCTGCACATATATAATTTAACATACAGTGTGTTTAACCTCAAATCAGTATAGCATAGGTTACATGATGATAATGAAATTATAATAATAATGAAAGGACACTTGATCCTTTCCAACACTGTTCCACCGTAATATGCCAAAGGAGCAGAATGTGAATGACGTTAATAAATTTAGGGGTCATTCTCTGTGTCATGCAAGGCAACAGTTTATGTGGGGAACTCCATCAGCAATGCTAACTCATGATACGGCACTCCGTTGCAGACAGATAATATACACTTTATTTTAGGTACTGTGAGCCCACATGTGCTCAATGTGATTGAGGTTCAGTGGTTGGTCAGGGCATGGAAACTTTCCTTTCAATCTGTGTGTGCCAGGAGGAGCTTGAGCTGAAAACACTGCTGTCTTCAGGCTGGTGACACGGACAGGCATCATTCCCTCATGAAGAGAATCCTGAAGGACTGTATCAGCCAGAAGTTACAGAGGCCCTCAAGTAGACAAGACAGCAATGCATGTTACACACTGATGAGGCATCAGTCCTCTCCCACAGCCAGACCAATCCACTGCTATAAACAAGTGAGAACTAGTTTAGAAAAACCCTTTGAAACTGGCCCAGTAAATCTTGAGGCTAGGATTTCATATCTCTGCCACACAACGTGCTCAAGTATTACTGTTTGCATTAATGTTATTAATGTTACTGTTGTTACTGTTAGGTTTAAGCACATGGCAAACTCACAAGGTTACTTACTGTAGGTTGCTAGGAGAAGAAAAGGCAAACCACAAGAACTAAATTTTAGTTTCATTGCAATTCTAGTTGTTTTTTTTAAAGCAGTCGTATTTGGGTAACTGCGAAGTGGAAATTTAAGAATGACACTGCCTTTATCTTAATAGTTACACTTCACTTAAAGGGCTTAAAGAGAAACTAGTTACAGTAGCAAGTCTTATTTCTTTCAGTGTGTGTACTGTAACTATATAGATATACAGTATACAACAAGTTGCATATATTTGTATATGTAGCAGATGGCCAATGTTGTAACTAGTTTCTACATGCCTTGTGCTCACTGAGTGCAGTCTCCTGTAATCCCGTGGATGAATGACTAGTACCCTAATTTACTTTCATCTTTAAAATGAATTGTTTTATACACCCTTGTTGGTGATGTATGATTATACAATACATATATACCCTGTAGATATTTTACTGTATAAATGTAAATACAGCATAAATATGATTTGTGTTGAGTGTTGGTAGCCTTAAGTTCTTTATAACAGTATGATTTCTTTGCAGGTCTTACTTTAGAACTTTCAAATGATCATCTGCAACATCATAGTTTGATGTGAAGCATGGATTTTTTTTAGGGGTATGCATTAATCTACCTAGGCACAATAATTCATTTTTGGTTTAATTGTATACATTTCACTCTTTTCAGCAACGAAATACTGATGTTCAATCTTGTATGACACGCTAAACTTCATAAACCTTAGCCTATAGTGTTCGTTCCATAAGAGACTAGCCAGGACAAGACGTGCAGCTACTGTACTATGCTCGCAATTCGCTTATACAGTACCTAAGGTCTACAGGATTGTCTTTTGTAAATAGAAATAATTCAAACTGTTAAGTAGATTGCCATACAGTACATGACTATCCTCCTCCACTAGAAACATGCATTGAAATATCATGTTTTTACAGTACGTCGAAACAGCACCCCTGTCCCTGCAATGAAAGTAAACTAAGTGCTGTGTAAGTACTAATAAGTGGTGTACGGTCTACATGTCTGCAGGGCAGGGTTTTAGTTTAGTTGGCTCAGTGTCACACACAGATGTGACTCTTTACCCCTACACAACACCGTGACGGCTAAAATCCAGCCTAAAAATCACTCAGATTACACTCCAGAGGAAGAGCTACTCGATACGACAGACGAAAATCAAATCTGTAAGCATCTCGTCTAATTCCGAATGCGCCGAACTTCCAGAAATCAACTGAATCTTCTGTTTCCCAGTCAGCAGCGATTGAATGCCTTCAGCAGACTAAGCACTTAAACGCGACCGAGGAGGAACACCAGAGAGCGAGAGAGACGGTCTATTTTTTCCCCCCAGACAAGCGCAGAGGTTTACTGGGATAACTTATTACTGTTCCTGGAGAGGAGAGCCAATAACAGTCAGCGATTTCCTTCTGCAATTTGTGTTCCAGGTTTTGGAAAGGGGACAATAGTGTGTTCTAATACTGAGAACTGCGGTGCTTCACGAGGAACGTCGTCTTGCGCGCAGCAGCAGGCGAGAATTCCGTGCAGAACCGGGTGTAAAAGAAGACGCGTTGCTTCCTTCTTTTAAAGTCATAAAACAATTAATACGGCTGCATCTCAGCAGCACTACCCAGGAGGACACCTTCAGACTTCTCGATTTCCTCAGAGACTGAAAGTGGGGAGAAAAGAAATTCCCCACTTGAGGGCGAAATCATACTTTTCAGGACGTCAAGTTTAAAAGCTACAGGACCTGGGCTCTTCCAGAGACAACATGCAGAAATGGTAAATATGTAAACGGTATGCCTCTTGCTGTATCAAAAATTAATTCAATTTCGTGTTACTCCATACACAGCTCTATGCATGGCAAACTTTTTTGAAAACTTTCTTGAATAGCTTGGCCTGGTATGTTTGTACTTGTCCTGCAGAGTCGATGAAGCAAATACTAATAAGTATAGGGACGCTTAGGTGGCATTGTTATTTTGTTCTGTATCAGATTTTACTTTAAAAAAAACTTTCACAGGATCCATTCGCCCATTGTGTCTTTCATTATTTTATTTTATAGAATTTCACTAAACAAACTTGGATTTCCTTGATATTATTCATATTCCTCTAGTTCATTGTTTGCTATCTCACATTTTATAAAGCGCTCAATATTTGTTTTATGCTGTCAGAATAAAAAAAAATATCACGTCTGTTTATTTTTCCTATAGCTAAGTTTATATACTGTACAACTTCAAAAGTTAAAATGTAACCGCCAAACCAGCCTTTTCTAGTACTAGCGCAGACCCAAAAAGCATGTCCATTTCATTAAAAATGTATGAAGACTAATTAAATGTATTTATTATTATTAACAAGAATAATGCTGAGCACAAGAAAGTGTAACAGGGTGAATGTTTTATCGCCACGCATTAGACAGTTTTAAGTGAGCGTTTTGTTCTATCGTTTGCTATTCTTTAATTGTGGGCGTAATAGTAACGTGTAGTGCTATTCACGGCTATCGATCGATAAGTCGGTTTTCGGCTGTAGTGAAGACATTACGGGCATGACCCAGTACAAAGATATCATTTTAACAGCAATACCTGGTCTTGTTCAAGTTAGGAAAGACGCACGGTGAACTGTCAAAAGCAGGCAACTTTAAGAAAGCTCACAGTGCTTTACAAATACTGGAGAAGGTGTGCTGGTACTGTGCATGATACAACAGCTTTGCAGTGGATATTCATTTTCCCGAGACTTTCAAAAATAAGTTACAAGACTAGGTCTGGGCCACGAAAATTTGTCTTTTGGCCTGTACCTGTTTAAGACTTCACCAGTTTAATTGCTCCGCTTATTATTACGTGTGACGAAACTACACCCGAAACAGCACCGAAGAACTTGTCTTCGCGTTTCTGTTAGCGTTGCCGTGCTTTCTACCCTCTGGTGACACTTTTCGAAGATTCCTTTTGAAAGAATGCGCAACCTTTAGTGGATCCAAACAGCGAAATGTTTTTGTTTTAAATAAAAGTGTGCTTAGCATTTTTTACAGGGGAAATGTATTACTCGTCTCAGCAAAAGAGCATGAAACGATCGATGTCGTCGGCACGAAAAAGGGTTTTCGCATTGCAGTTGTGTTAAAAAGCATTTTTTTAATAATGATACTTTGTAACAGGCGTGTATTAATTTGTTGAAACAATTGAACACTTTTATTCTTTATTTAAAAATCGGACAACAATCCAATAAGACAAACCAGACAATACAGTAAGACATATTTACACTAAAGATAGCGATAAATGCTGTTTGAAGGCAGTAGGTTAAGTGTAAGCGTATTGAGTGGGAATAACACATTTGAATAAATAAGTAGTTGTACATAAGCAGGGTGGCCCCAAAGTCAGGTTGTTTTAGACTGTTACAATGCATTTATTAAGATTTTAAACCAGGATGGCAGTTTTTCTTAAATTCAGTGATGAAATCAAAAACAAGCTTTGATACAAAGTTACAAGTTGAAAACAAAAGTTAACCTGGACCAAATCATAAATAATAACAATGTACTTTATATTATAGTCCAATATTGGCTGAGTGCTGATGTTTTAAAAAAAACTGTCAATAAGCTGCTTAAACGCCTTGTGTTGTATAAACCAAATCAATAAAAAGATTAAAGTGAACAAAGTAACAGCAATAGAGGTTTCACCATAGTTCATTCAGCTTTGATTGAATTATAAATACAATCCACCATGCAGTAATTAAGATAAATTTAATATTGAAAGAATGTGATTTTCATAAATAAATTGTAGATTAATAATTTACATTGTTCAGAAGTGTTTACACTGTGGAGTGAGTACAATATTTAAGTACTGCATGAAGCCACACAGATATGAAAATTGCATTTACTTAATCATTTCAATGAAAAGAAAATGTGCAGCTTTATGTCTTCACAGACTTGTGGTCTTCAAGAAAACAAGAGCACAGTATTCTGTTTGGTTGTGAAACTAACAGCTGTTTTTGCCATTTTTTAAATACATACCTTCAAAAGAGTGCCAACTAAGAATCATGTTCGAAAATCAGCATTACACGACTTTCTGCCTTTTTTCATTGATGCATATAACAGGCTCGGAACTGGGGAAAAAAAAGTTTTCATGCAGGAGTAACAGATTTAAGCTTGTTAAGGAAATAAAAGAGGGAAAAAAAGATCACAGCTCCCTCCTTTTAAAAGCGCTTGTACTCTCCAGTTTGACTGCTCCAGTCAGAGTTTATGAGTTCAGCGCTTTACATAATATTTTGTCCTAATCTTGGTTCCTGTCAGAGATGTTTCATGGTTGTGTAAGTGCTGCAGTCAAGAATGCCAATTTGCATTCCAGGAGTGTCATTTGATTACTTTTATCTGTGCAGCTTCTAGACTAGCCCAGACCTTCGCATTTCATCTTGCCATGTCACAAGTCAACACGGTGTCGTCTTTTTCAGAAATCAGCCCAGATTTAGACAAGGGAAGGGGGTGTGGGTGGAGAGGGGGGGGGGGCGGGGGAGCACTTTCATGTTGTAGGCTGAGTCCCAGGCTAGCTTGTCAGCAGTAGGCTGTGATTCACTGGGGCTCTGAAGAATTGGAAAGTAGATGATGGTTAGACGGTTCAATAAGCCCATGGACAGGTAGCCTGTGACGGCCCCAAGAGAGCCAGTCTTAATGAAGAACAGGTCTGCTTAGTTCTTCACTCCCTGACCCCATGTTGTCCCCACAGTTTTCTCATTTGATCTCTCCCAGCAAATTGATCTTTTCTAGTATTTTTTTTACCTTCCAAGTTAGTCCTTGTGGGAGCTAAATTAACAGAGCAACTTAAGTTGGATAATACAGCTGTTGGAAAAGAAATTGGACACTGGCCTTTTCTGTTCGTTCTTTTCTTACTGTTGTTTCGTTCTTTCAGTGCCGGTGTTTAAAACAGTCTTGTCTAAGACAGATCAGAAAGGTCAGGTTCAAGCCTTGACTCGGGACAGTAGCACCACATGTATTTATTAAGTATATACTGTATCTCAACACACATACGTGGATAGCACATACTGTATATATTTAAGTGTGAACATTTTTCTGTCTGTCAGATCAGTATTTTGTTTACTACATGAGTGCTGTAAGAAAATACTTAATTTTCATTTCATTGTTACATATTCATGTCAGTTACAAGGCAGCCATGTTTTCTGTTAAAAACCAAATTCATTTTAAGACATACCCCAGCATATTTTCTTTTATAATGAGGCAGATATTGGTCTTTGGTGAGGAACCTCAACAGCAAAATGACAAAAGCAATCAACAGAAGTAACATTTACAAAGTGTTTAGTTTTTTTTTTGCAAGGTAAAAAGTAACTACTACATACACCTTAGTACTACCCTAAAGAATAATCATCCATCCTTTATCAGAAAGGTCCTTATTAATAGATTATAAATATTTAATTTAAATTTAGCATTTCTCCTATTAGTTCAGTATTTCATTTTTCTTGGTTGTGTAAGGCTTTGGTTTTTGAGTCAGTTTAGCAGAAAACATAATTAAACAGAAAACAAAAATGGCATTACAAAACTATGCCAATCTTTCAATCCATGGACTAATTAAACACACAAGTGTATAAATGTAAGAATTCAAATTAAACCGTTCATTTTCATAGAACAATGGTTTATTTTGTGACAGAAGTTACAGCCTGAAATGTAGTCATGCTTGTTGCAGCACTTTGCCTTTGAGACCATACAAGAAGAGCACACCATCTGCTGAGCTCTTGTGACGCATATGGAAAGGTTATATGCACAAGAAGATGAACTGCAGTTGTATGCTTGCTTTGTTGTGATCTTTGCTTGAGCCTGGCCTCTTCTGCTGTATCCTTCTTGGATTGCTATTGTAACGATAGTTCATCCATGAGAACAGATTATAGCCAACACCGCCATTGGCAAACTATTTAGACCTGCCTTAACAAGGCATTTCAGAAGACAGTGTCATGGCAACATGGCAAGAGGTGATGTATTGACTTGCATAGGTTTTGAAACAATTTGGTTTGGTAGGTGTTCAATCTGATGCAGCACTGAAGCTTTGCAGTTTCCTGTGCATTGTATATGTTTTTTTTTTGGACAAACAGGAATTGCAGAGGCATTTTCAGACTCTTACGTGATGCATGATTTACAATAATCAAAAACATATTTTGAAGTAGAACTTGCTTCAGTTGGCTTTCCTTGAGTGGCAATATATGTATATACAGCCCACGTTATTCTCATTTGTTCCTCATGGAAATATCTCTTCTTCTGGCAGTCGGATTTACAAGTACAGGAGGGCATGTCAGATCTTTTTCATAATCGCATGTGATTTTACAATATAAATTTTTTTTAGTGGTTTTAAGTTTTTCACTATCTGCTGTTCGTTTAAGTTGTACAGTATGTGTTCCTGAAACACAGTGGGCAGATGTTGATGTCTTCAAACTGCTTGCAGAATAGCCTTGTCCCTAAAAAACAGCATATGATTATAAATATATTTTTTTATAAATACTGTACAAACACTTAGTGTTTTAAATTAAAGGTTTATATGAAGAAGAGGCAGAACATTTCCTAGGTGACTTCTTCAAAATTCTCCATGTTAATGTCCCACTACCCCACCGAGACTGGAGCTCCTCTTGAAAATTCATTTTCTGTGCCCATCCAAGTGATACTTCTTTGGAAAGCCGCAAGCTGCCAAGCTGTAAATGAAACCACCTGAGGATAGAGGCCATCAGATTCATTTCATTTATGAGTCCTGTTGGACATTACTCCCCCATCTTTTAACAAACCCAGAAGTGGAAAGTTCCAG